CTCCCTAAAAAATAAAAAACATCCTTTAAAAGATCTTGGATGTCAGAACCAAGGTAGTTGAATCCCCAGATGTAAATATTTACTGTTATATTGCAACATGTTAATATTTTTGATTCTGTGAGTCATTTTTTCCATTAAAAGAACAGTCCTTTGCAAAGAAAGTGTATATGACATTTATCACATCACTGAAGTTGCTCTCCCAAAACAGGCAATTTCTCAAACTGCTGCAGTCAAACTCCCCAAATATTCTTCTTGAGAAAACCCACCATAGAACAATTCCTCTCAGGGAACAATATTTTTGACTAATTTCAAATCAGCTAAAGTACATCTGGGCAAACTTAATGACAAGTAGCAGTGCTGTCTCTCCTGACCCAGAATACTTGCTAATTTGCTTCTAATGTAGGTGTCATGGTGGCAAAAGATTATGAGCCTGGTTCCAGCTCCAGCATTTCAGAGCATTGAAATCGGGTGCAGAGGCTGCCCGTACTGCAAACAAGAGAGTCAGGCAACTCAAAGATTGGACCGAATCTTCTCAAAATTGTCAGGCACAGAATCTGTTTGAACTGCCACATGTGAAGCAGCTCCGTGCACTCAGGATCTGAAGGACGTGTGCTTCCCCTGGAGGGAAGTGCTCAGCTCATTCGACTTTATGACTCAATGAATCAGATAAACTAGTGGTAATTTCCCTTCGGGCCTAAGAAAACTCAAAACATTCCCGTTGAAGAGCCTAATCTGAGGCTATTAAATGTGGGCCATCCTCAGCTCTCTTGTCCAAATTGGATCAGCATAAATTAAGCATAAATGAATCTGGATTTCTTCCTGAACAATTAGTTACTCCTAAATCTATCGAAGCTACTCAGTGTCCTTTTACTGACAAATTCAACAAGTTTGGATTGTGCCCTAATGCTAAGGCAGAAGAACATTTCCATTTAATTCATCTGTCTCATGCTTTCTAGTGCTTTTTTCTCTCTCTCTTTCATAACAAGTCTAAATAAAGTGTTGCTTTTTAGCAGTGTGGTATTTTTCACATTGGGTAATGCAAAAGAATGAAACTGGATTTTACTGCCATTGGCAACATTATATATGAAACCGGTGGAATTCACTGCCGCAGGAGGTCAGTGAGTCAAATACTGTGGCGAGATAATTTTATAGCCATCAGTAAATTCCGTAGATGTGCAAGCATAGATAATAGCATAAGGTTAATTAGATTTCATGCCTCTGAGCATAAAATATACTATTGCAGGGACCAATAAGGAATTCTGCCTCCATTTACAGAATTACATTAGTCTCAGTGAAGTTTTCACCTCCAAAGCATCAGAGATGCTTTGACCACCAGGGGAAAGAAGATATAAATTCTGGGGCTTAATTTGCAATGCACTTGATCCTAGCTGAGTACACGGTCTCTCTCTTCTTCTGGAGTGGATTTAAGCAGCTGACGAAGGTGCCCAGTAACCTCAGATGGAGCTCAACATTCCCTAGGAATGGACACTAGTTATCTCCATTTTCAATCCACTTTCCATGCATTGTGTATTCACACAGCATTATGTCACAATTTTGAACTCAAGTCATATTTTCCATCATTTAAAAGAGACTTGTTAGAGCATTAGCACTGGCAAGCTGTCTACCAGCTTCTGGAAATCTCAAACTCTTTTTTCATTCGTTCTTTCAAAACAGCTTTTTTTTAATCCTGTCTGTGTAGCACCTACTAGGGCAATCCCAGGCCATTTTGAAGGTGACACAAACTGCAGTGTCAATGCAGGTAGCACTACTGTTGCACTGTCAATAACCAGCCAAAACTCAGCCTGGTCAAAAGTGCCAAATACTCTTTAATTTCCTCTGCTGGATTTTCTACTGTTCTCCAGGAAATCACTTGCAGAGAAAACCCACTTATTTAGCACATTCAACTCCAGAAAATACTGGCTAATTAACATAGTTAAAATTCTCAAACCCTGAAGCAGTCTTTCAAGTGAAATAGTATTCAAAACTTGACGAGCTACTCTGCAGGCTCATACTTAATTTTAACTATCACTGTAGCGCATTAATTGCTTGCTCATAAATTTAGAAAGACGATATATAAATACATCATAACGGTTTTGCTGAAACTAGAGGTCAACACACAGATGCACACAGACAAAAATGAGCTACTGTAATGACATTTTTACTGGGTGCTGTTTTATTTCTTCTCTGAAAACAAGTTCCAGTGTGCTTAGAATACAAATGGACAGACAGAAATATTCTGACAGGGATGACCCGTGACTCTATTTCCCTACTCTCTCCTCCAAAGGGGAGGAAAGAACAATGAAAACCAGTACTAGAATAGACAGTCTTTCTGTCTTTCATGAGTAAACACTAAAACAAAAAAAAAAAAGGACAAGAACACATTCAGATCCTTTAAGCAAAACCCAAGACAATCTGAGCCCATTTTTAATTAAGAGAGCAGCTACTTAATGCCTTACCTATCCAAGCTCCCAACTCTGGCAACTAGATATAGGAGACTTCCAATAGCAAGGCTGCCTAGTACAAAGAGCTTCTGTCTCAGCAACGCCTGCTGTTTGAATAGCATGGCCCTCCATCAATCTTCAGGACTTCTTCAGTCTGCAGGGACAAGAACACATAAAACACTCATCAGAAAGCAATATGCAGGGTAATGTTTAATCAGTTGTTGCAAGAGATCAAGCCACACTTGCAAAATCTTTTAAAACTGCAAAATAAGTAGTAAAAACTTCTTTGTTTGCTACTGTTTTTCTGTCTCACGTGGCAACACCAGGCAATGTATCTGGGTTAGGGTGATAATTCTGGAAGTTCAGTTACATTCACCATTGCTAGGGCTGTCTGATAACCATACTATGGGTATTGACTCTGTAGAGGCTTGTATTGTAATAGGATCTCTTGTTAGGTAAATATGTTTAGACTTTAAGCCCTTCAAAATCAGCCTGGGCTAGATTTCAACAGAGATTTAAATGCTTTGCTGCCAAGCGAGGCACCAATAGCCAGGTGTTAGGCTTGCAAGTCCTGTGCACACAGTGTATGGGGCACGTTTACTGTGTCTTTAGTATTATTAGAGTGTAAGCTGGAGAGAAATCTAAACCAGTGCACTTCCTGATCTATGCCAGCAAGGCCCTAATGACAGACCTGAGAAGCATGTAACTGGGGTGGTCATAATGACCATTTTTCAACACCAGCTCATCTTATCAGCTCTCCCTGTGCTGGGCATTAGCTTGGGCTGTTCTGTGGAGAAACCCTTAAGCATCTCATCTGCCTGATGCTGGCTCTGGCTATTATCTTAAGACCTGATGGGACACAAACTGGAATGCTTGCCCATATCCCCAGATTTCAGCAAACTTGAAGCATAGACTTAAATTTCCTTTTCTGATGTGCACAATAGACTGTCTAAAACCCACAAATGAGCTTTGCTTCAAATACTTTAGATATGAGGCAGGCATGAGTCAAACAATGTGACCTTGGGCCAAGAAGATTGAACCAGAATAACCGGGAGGTCACTAGGTAAGTTAGAAGGAAGACCTGAGTAAAACTATTTATCTTTAGCCTGACTCTTCCCTAGACATTAGGTTTGTGTTCAGGACTGCAGACCTGTTTAGGAGACTCAGAGCTGCATACGTAGTACCTTCTTACAAGAACTGAGGAGAAAGATAAGTCTCTTCTTTCAGAGGACAGACAAAGATGACATGGTTCTTCACTCTGTATGAATCCTAGGCTTTTTTATAAATATACACGAGACTAAGGTTCAAATCCTCTCACTGGATCAGGGGATGAAAAGCCATCTTGTCTAGCAACCAAATGAATGTTTTATTCACCAAATTGATCCTCTTGATATAAAAACCTACAAATATAAACTGGACTCACCCGAACTACTTATCCATATTCTCACTCCGTCAACCAGAGAGTGTTTAATATATTATGGAGTAGTTTCAACAGAAACTGCTTTTTTTTCCGAAATTTTGACTGGACTTACTTTGAACAATTTTTGATGTCAAGTTTCTTATGTTTTCCCACTAGCAAACCCCCTTTTGCAGCTCACCTTTTTCTTTTCCAGCCTTCAGACTTGCATCAAGCAGGACTGGGAATAGATTATTATAAGCATGTAACTATATACAGAAGAAGAATGGGTAATGACAGTGCAAGGTTTGACTGGCCACTGTTAAATAGAGCCTGTAAATGTTTCTTTGTCCTGCCCATACTGTTAAATTTTTGGCCCAGAAAGCTCTCATGAGACTCCAGGATACAGTTTAGTATCTGCTACAAGCCAGGGACCATTCCCATTAAACAGTATGAATGCAGTCTCTGCCTTTGTGCTGGCTGAGTTTCGTGGTATGGATGCAGGTCACTCCATACTGCTTGTCTTCAAGGGTGGTAGAATAGTCATTCCCGAGTACATTTATTTTACTGCTATATAGAAAGCCTTTGTAAGACCAGCCCATCATCTCTTGATAAAAGAGCCATGCAGCATTGAAGCTCTGAGTCTGACTGAGTCTCTAACACACTTCTGGTGTGCTAATAGTAACAGTAACTCCTTACACTGCCAGGTCATAGCTCAGGATATAACCTCTTATACAGGGTAGCCTATCATACAGAATATATTGCTTTTTACACAGATAAAAGTAATTCTGTAATAAGAATTCTTAGATAAGATCCTTATTGCAATGAGAATCTTATAAAACACAGAGTAAAAAGAGTTTGCAATGTAAATACAGAGACAGAAGAAGTATTATCATCCTTTAAAAAATAAATGAGGAGCAGAGGTACAGAGAGATGAAGTGATTTGCTCAAGGGCACAGAGAAAACCTGTAGCACCAGTGGGATACAGTGTGAAATGTCTGAATTCCTATCTAGTGCCTTAACTATGTGATAAACTTTTGCCTTTTTTGTAGTATACTTTTTCTTAACATTGAAAAATAAACATAAAAATGACATAGAAATGAGTAATTCTAGACATTGAGCAAGGCAGAAAACCCATAGCTGAAGTTTAATTATTAAGAAAAGTGCACAGATACTCTAGCTCTATGTTGATACGCTACTACTAATTATTCTTTTAAATTAAGTTATTTAATTAAAAAACAGGAAAGACAAGGACATGATGATGATGACAGCAAATTTTCATATGTTTCCAGTTTTAAATCCCTGAGTGCTGCTCTCTCTAAATAAAAGGATCACTTCAGTGTTACAACAATTGGTTCTGAACCTCATCTCTCAGAAAACATGTACACATGCAGCCCTCTGTACATGGAACTAAAGTGCTGCCCACATGTTCTCCCTTATACAGGCGCTGGGACCCCAGTTAAGTCCTACCTGCAGGCCTCACTAAGGCGGTGGAGGTCACCAGGGCATAATGAAATCAAATTAATGACAAGCTGTTCTCTGAAATGTATTCCACAAGGTCTCATGACTGTAATATTCATGTTTGCAATAATATTCAATACAAAAAAAGCCAAACAAACCAAACCAACCAACAAAAACTCAGACAGAAACCAGTTCAGTTTTCTCTGTGTTGTCTCTGTGTCTTCATGTACTTGAGTACGGAAAACTTTTCCACAGAAAGGCAAATACTAAACACCCACTAGAAATGCAAGTATAACATTATTTGTTTGCCTGTTTTGTTTTTGTTATCACTTTCAGCATATAATTTAAAGTCCATGGAAGGAGTTTTATTCCAGAGAGTTTATGACCTCTACAATAATTTCCTCAGATGTTAGGGTTTTTTTTAATGAAAGGAAATGTGGAGAAATAATATCTCAGCTTCAGAAATGACTACATCTTGCAATGCACGTACTGAGATAGCTCTACGTGACAGAGGAGAGGACTGAAGAAACACTTCTATTTAAGCCACAGAGTTAATACAACCAGAATGTGATTAAGGTGAAGGTCCCTAAGGCGGAAATGTTGCTGGAGACTAAAGTGGCAACACCTAAATGAAATGGAAAGAAGAAATGAAAAGGAAGAAATGAAAACTCTGGGACACATTATAAGCTGCACTAAGTTTTCTATAAGGAACATATACTTTTAAACTTGACTAGAAGCTGGAAGGCAAGATATAATGTAACCCAGAGTGACAACATTTTAGCAGTTATTTGAGGCAAATAAGGGTATTTAAAAAAAAAAAAAATCGCTTTCTGTTAGGTAGCGCAGCTAAACTGGTACACAAGCTACTGACCAGTAGAGGGAAGCTTGGGAAAGCTGAATTATACTGGTAGCTGGATGGTCAATGTGGAACCTCCTACCTACTGTTGCACATCTCCAGTGGGCTTACATCAGAAATATCTAACTTTAACAATCTAGTTAAATGTACATACGAGGAAAGTCCCTTCCTGAATATCCAAGAGAGTCATGATGCATAAAGAACAACACAAATAATTCATAAGGTGGAATGCATAATTTCTAGAAACGAAAGTGTGTGCAACATCATTTAGAGAAAAGAATGTAATGCATTTTGTGATTTCAGATACACAACTGATCTAACTTTTTAGATTGACATAGTAAAGTTTAAAGAAGCTTTATTTAGCACCAGAAGGTAGCTTTATCAGTGTATTGATGTGAATACTTCAACCAACCCCATTCCCTGTGTTCCCATCCCTGCTGGTGAAAGGACTGGGGTTATTGAGTGAATCACCAGGAGAAATCAGTACAATTATGGAGAACTGTGATGATAATACCAATTAAAAAACAGATGGATTGTTCCTGTTGAGATGAAGTGATTGTGGATAAAGGAAGATATTGCATGTGCTAGCCAAATAATGTGAATTTTCGGTGAACTCTTGTAAAAGTTAGTTTTAGGTTCAAGTTAAGTAAAAGTCAAGTAAGTAGAAGAAAACAAAGAAAAGTATACCAATAATGATGGTATTACTGATAAAATTCTGAATTTGATAGCACTGCAAATTGTGCAGAAGCACTGAAAACAGAAGCTGTTGCTATAATCACCTATTCCAAATAAACAGACAATGAGACAAGATTGCCAGGAACTTGTTTGAAAATGATCAGAGGGAAATTTTTGGACACGTGGAGCAGAGATGAGAAGATGCTACTGATAAATGAATAGCATGTGGCTGATTACGGAGAGAAGTGTAAGAAAGGAAGGCAACATATAATCCTTTGGTAAACAGACTGAAGAGATACAGTTTTGATGGAGTGCTGTGATTAATCAAAGTGAAGTACAAACCACAGGCAAATATGCACAAAGGAGGCTGAAAAAATGATAAATAGGAGATTTTTTTAGTTGAATTTGCCAATGAGTTGGCATAGATCTTTCTGATTTAGCACACCAGCAGGGGTCATCTGTTGACCAACAAATATTTGTCTTCATACACTGAGAAAATCTTTGAGTTTATGTGGGATTTAAGTACAGTGACTGAGGAAACAAGTCAGGGAACAGATCACTTGGCACATTTCCATTTCTCTTGATTTTGCATTTTGTTTCTTGAACGTTAACTGCATCTTCTTGCATTTGTCACTGTGGGTAAAATTCATAGAAATCAAGCACTTAGACTTTTTTGGGGGTAGGAAATCACATGGCATTTGGGAAAGGAGGGTATTTATCTCTCAAATTGCGTGCATCAGCTCATCAGCTAGTGATCTTCATGGTC